TCAAATAGAGAAAGATGAAGAGGTCACGCTTCATATTTTTGATAAACCATACAAGTTTGGTTGGGAATATGCAATCATGTTGCTATGATTATTTTCTATTTAAAATTAGGAAATAAGCTGGTAGTTGTAAATACAGATGAAAGGTTTCCTTATACCCAAACTAAATGATTGCTAGTTTACACCTCTGGAGGGGTGTCTGAATAATTGTGAATAGTAAGAGTGTACAGCCTTTGTCATACATGATGATGCAATTTCCACAGGTTATCATTCTTTCTTTGAACATTTTTCATACAATTGCTTATTTGGACTGGTTCCAGGGATATGTTGGCTAGTTACCACGTGAGTAAACACGGGCTTGACTTGTGAAATAAGTGTCAGAGTCCTTCCTCAAGGCATAGGTTGGAAGTAGATTTCCATTTGCTGGAGCGAGTCATGCTCTGGGACAGATTGTCTCTAGCTTGCCAGAAATGTAAGCATTTTATTTGTTTAGAGCTGTATAGCTGAGCCGAGCTCACAAGGCCCCTGAGACACATGAAAGCAGAGCTTTGCAAGGGGATGACTGTGCTAATCATTTTGGACCTGGGTACTTAGATCAGCTTTTTTTTTTTTTTTTATTTTGCACAACATAAGTATTATTCCAATTTACAGACCTGTGACATCACCAAAGTAGATTATGTCTTATGATAAAAAAATGATAATAAAATAATGGTTCCATTCATGTGATTGCTGGCAAAGAACTCTTCTTGGACTATCCCCTCAAATATTTCTGGAAGGCCCCAAAGAGGTAAGTGTTCCATTTATGGTCACACACTGAGCTGCTGTCAGAGGACTTAGCTATGTCTGCTCTTCCTCTTTGGGTCTAGTTCCTGCATAGCTGATCTTTTGCCCAAGATGTGTACAGACATCAAGACATTCATTCATTTTTAAAAATAATTTTATTGGAGTATAGTTGATTTACACTGCTGATTTCTGCTATTCAGAAAAGTGACTCAGTTACACATATATTCTTTTCCATTATGGTTTATCACAGGATATTGAATATAGTTCCCTGTGCTATACAGAAGACCTTGTTGTTTATCCACTCTGTGAAAACATGTATATTTATACATTAATGGTTTGTATCTGCTAATCCCAATACTTCCCTCCCCTTGGCAACTACAGGACTGTTCTCTATGTGATTTTATTTGTTTCATAGATTCACTTGTGTCATATTTCAGATTTCGCATGTAAGTTATATCATACGGTATTTAAGATAATTCATTCTTGAGTTGTGTATTAGTTCTGACAGCAGCAAATTCACCTCTGAGGGTATTTAACGTAACACAACAAACGTTGCTCTTTCACAGGTTTAATTCGTGCTCCGTGCTTTCCTTGGCAGCTTTCCTCACATGGTGACTCGGGGACCCAGGAATTTTCCATAGAGGGACATGGGAAACAAATGGCCCAGAAGTGACCGCAAGGAAAGGCTGAAGCTGTATGGGCAGGCACGTCCCTAATTCCTTTACTCAGAACCCAGTTCCATTTGCTCCAACCTAACTGCAAGGGAGGCTGTAGAAAGGCAGTCTTTCTGTGCATCCTGGAGGAGAAACATGCTTCAGTAAATGTGTAACACGGAACCAGAGCAGCGCCGAGGTTCGTTCGCATGCCTTGGCTATCGTAAATAGTGCTACAGCAACCTTGGGCTGCAGCTGTCTTCTGGAAGGATGGCTTTCTCCGATACACGCCTACCCAGGGACTGCTGGATTTCATGGTAGCTGTCTTCTTTTTAAAGGAACTTCCATACAGACCACGTTTTGTCGGAACTTCCCTTGTAGCTCAGTCGGTAAAGAATCTGCCTGCAGTGCAGAAAACCTGGGTTCGATCCCTGGGGTCAGGAAGATCCCCTGGAGAAGGCAATGGCAACCCAGTCCAGTATCCTTGCCTGGAAAATCTCATGGATAGAGGAGCCTGGTGAGCTGCAGTCCACGGGGTCCTAAAGAGTCGGGCACAACTGAGCGACTTAACACTTACTTCCATACTATTCTCCACAGTGTATGTTACCAATGTACATTCCCACCAACAGTGTAGTTTTCTTTTCCGCAGGCCTTCGTAGCATCTATCGTATATAGACTCTTTAATGACTGTCGCTTCGGAATAGCTCATCATTTTGATTTGCATTTCTCTAAGCATTAGGGATGATGAACATCTTTTCATTGCATTTTTTTTTTCCTGAAGAGTGTGAGGATAATTCAGTTCTTGAAATTGGCTTCATGAGACTGGCCTTGGTTCAAATTACCTCCCACAAGGCATTTCTTGAGGGCAGGGGTCATTTACAGTCCCACTAGCCTTGAGACGCTTGAGTGCCCCACAGCGCGTTTTCAGGTTGTAGTTGCATGCGGCATCCACAAGGAGGCAGCACTTCCTCCTGCCTCAGTTTGGTAACGGGCAACTAGAGCCTTAGAGAAAGTCCTATTGTGGGGTTGTAAATTCCAGTGGAAAGTGCCTGAACAAACATCCTAGAGAGCTTGTATCTCATCACCTCTTTACTGTTGCCCGCCCCCCGCAGACAAATCCCAAGCCCTGCAGAAGCGCTGTGCGGAGGGTGCTGGGGCGGCCCTAAGGAAGGAGGCTGGGCATGGGAACCCCACCACCAGGGGACGTGGAGACCACGTGAGTTTGCAAACGTCTTCCCAGCCGTTGGCTCCACCATCCTTTGGAGGTATTGGGCTTGGCTTAGTTGCAGGAGTGCCAGCCTGGATCTGGGGCCCCATCTGAGGGGCTCAGGCACTACAGGTCTAAGGGGGGGATGGTGCTCAGGTCCGTGTACATCCTCCCCAGCTCACTCAGCCCCAGGACAGTCCAGCCTTGGGACGGAATCTGCTCAGGATCCAGGTACGTGACACCACTCTGGGTCGTCCATCTTTCTTTTTGCTTTATCCCTCTCTCCCTCCCTTCCTCTTGCTGTCTCTTTCTGCCTTCATCTCTCTTCCTTCCCTTCCTATCTGTCTGTCTTCCCTCAGTCTTCCTTTATTCCTTCCATTTTCCCTTCCTCTGTCTCTTTCTCTCCTTTCAGTGTCTCTCCCCCTGATGTCTTTCACTCTTCCTCCCCTCAATCTCTTTCCCTCTTCCTTCCTCTTTTTACCCTCCTCTCATTTTCTCTTTTTACTCTTTTCTCCTGTTTAGCCTTTCTAGTCTCTTTCTCACCTCTATTTTCCTTTCTTCCTTCCATACTTTCACACTTTCTCTGTACTTCTCTCACTTTTTAGATCTTTCTCTTCTCTATCTGCCCCTTTCTTTCCCACCCCTCTCTTCCTTTCTTCATTCCTCTGTTTTCTCTCCATTCTTTCCCTCGACCCTCTTTTCTCGTTTCTGTCTTCCTTCCTCTTTCTTCCTGTTCTTTCCCATCTCTCTCATTGTGGTCCCTTCCTATCTCTTTTTCTCCACTGTCTCTCTCACCTCCCTTCATCTACTCTTTTTCTTTCTTTCCCTTGATTCCTCCTTTCACCTTACCTGTCTCTTCTTTCCTCTCTCTCCCCCTCTCTTCCATCTACCCCTCTTTTTCTTTCCTTCTGTTTCTCTTCCTCTCCCTCCCTTCATCTTTCTTTTTTCCTTCTCCATTCTTTGCTATCACTTTCTCTCTTCGCTCTTTACCTTCTCTTTCCTCTCTGCCCCCCTCCCTGTTTCTCTCTTCCTCTTTCTTTCAGACCCTCCTGTGACTCTGCTGTTTTTGTTTCTTCCATCCTTACGCTTGCTCTCTCCTTCCTTCATCTCTCTTTTGCCCTACATCCCTTTCTGTGTCTCCTCTATCTCTGTCTCTCCCGCTCTCTCTGATCCGTCCTTCCTTTCCCTGTCTCCTCTGTCTCTCTCCCCTCCTTCCTACCCGTGTCTTATTCCTCCCCCTCTCCTTCTTTCACTCTCTCTTCTCATTCTCCCTTCTCTTCTCCCTTCTTTTTGTCTCTTTCTCTCCTCTATCTTCCATCTATCCCTTCTTCCCCTTCCTCTCTCATTTTCTTCCTTCTTTCTCTCCTCTCCTCTCTTCCCTCTTTTCTTTCTCTTCTTTCTCTTTCAGTGTCTTTCCCTCTGGATTTTGCTCTTCCCCCCATCCTTCCTTCCCCTTTCTCTCCTCTCTTTTCCTTCCTATGTCTCTCCCCCCGCCTTTCTCTTCCTTCTCTCCCTTCTTTTTCTTCTCTCCCCTTGCTCTTTTCTGTTCTCTATTCCTCTTTTTCTTCCCTTTCTCACCTCTCCCTTCCCTCCCCCTCTGTCCTCGCCTTCACTTCTCTTTCCTCTTCTCCCCTTTCTCTCCCTCCCTTTCTCTTTCCTCTTCTCCCTCCCCTCCCTCCTTCAGACCTTCCTGTTTCTGCTCTTTGTCTTTTGTTTCTTCCTCATCTCTCTCTTCTCTCTCCCTCAATTGCTTTCTTTCCCTTCCTCTCTCTTACTCTCTATTTCTCTTTCTTACTTCTCTCTCTCACCTTACCTGTCTCTTCTTTCCTCTCTCTCCTCCTCTCTTCCATCTACCCCTCTTTTTCTTTCCTTCTGTTTCTCTTCCTCTCATCTTTCTCTTTTTTTCCCCTTCTCCATTCTTTGCTATCACTTTCTCTCTTCGCTGTCTCCCTCCCACCCTTTCCCCTCATTTCTTCCATCCTTTCACAGCATACGTCTCTCTCATTCTTTATCTTTTTTTCTCTTTCCTCCTCTCCTCTTTTCTTCTGCTGACTCTTCCTGTCTTCCACTATCAATTTTCCCCTTCCTTCCTCCCTCTCTTCCTTCTTTCCTTTCTCACCTCTCTCCCTGTTTCTCTCTTCCTTCCTCTCTCCTCTTTTGCCTCTCTGTCCCTTAATCTCTCTTTCCCCCTCTTTATTTTTCCCTTCCCCCTCCCTTCCTACCTTCCTTCATTTCCACTCTCTTCTTTCTCACTCCCTTTCTTTCTCCATATCCTTCCTTCCCCTCTTCCTCCTTCCCTTTTCTCACCTGTCTCCCTATCTCCCTTCCCTCCTTCCTGTCTGTCTTCTTTCTCTTCTCTCTCCTTTCCTTCCCCTCTCTCTTTTCCCTCACATGCAGCTTCTTTTTAATATTAATCTGCAAACATAGGAGGAAAAGGTGGTAGCGAGAGGGAGTTTGCTCACATCATCGTCACCAAAAGGGCTCTGAAACATGGGTTTTACCTTTTTTTTCATCTTCTTCAGAAGACTGCGGTGGTGTTGTAGCCAGGATGGAGCTGCTCAGTTATAGAGACTTTGATCTGTTAAGATTTCATTCAATATTTCTATTGTCAAACACCATATGGATTAGCAGATACCATCATAATAAAAGTAGGATAGTAAAATTTTAAATGTAAATGACATAAAAACTGGACTGATAAATAATAAAACTGTGAACTATCAGAATGAGTATTTTAAAATGTAGTGGACAGTATATGATTAAAAGAAAAAGACTGCATTCAGTACCAGTAAATCAACACATGTGTTCTTCTGCTGACTCTTCCTGTCTTCCTCTATCAATTTTCCCCTTCCTCCTCCCTTCCTCTGTTTAAGCAACAGTGGCTTAAAATGGTAAGACTTCATGTTTTTTCCTGCCTATGTTTGTTTATTTTTTTTAAGTCTGTAGGTGTGACTTCCCTGGAGGTCCAGTGGTTAAAACCCTACATTTCCACTGCATGGTGTACAGGTTCAATTCCTGGTCTGTGAACTAAGATTCTGCATGTCACAGACTGTGGTCAAATGAGTAAGTCTGAATATAGGTATTTGTTGGTATTGATTCCAGTTCTTGATGACACTGAGGCAATAATTTCTGAAGTTTTCCTGTCCTTTTATATTTTTCATCTGTGGTTACAGAGACCACGTGATGTGGGCTATTACAACAGATTGATTGTAGAAACAGATGTGAATTATGAGAACTAGTAAAATACAAAATTATGGCATGTTTATATTTATATACTTTTTTGCTTTGGAAAAGCATTTTAATACATTATTTCTGTTTATATCTAATGACTGTATTGTTACTTTTAAATATGTTAAAAATAAATATTTAATGTTTCCAATTTAACTTCCAAAATAGTAAATATTTAATCCACAAAAGGAAAAGGCTTCTGGGGAAATACTCAAGAATTACTACAAGTAGTTGAGGGTTTCTGAGACCAACAATCTTTAGGAAAACCTGCTTTATAAAAATAAGACTATTGATTCATTGTTTACCATACATGATCTTCTCAGTTTATCATCTGGCTATTACATGTTGTGCTTTTAGTTAAGGGAATTTTAAATTTTTTATGGAGTTGTCAGTTTAGCCTCTAAATATCTTGTGGCTTTTTTTTTCTTTCGGTTAAACATATCTCATATTTCTATTTTTTAGTGCTTAGACAGATCATGTTCTATAGTATATGGATTTAACTTTTGTCCACAAAGCCAGCTGTCTCAACATCATGTATTGAAAGTCATCCTCTTATACTCTTTTCATTTGATAAATTCCAATGAATGATCAGGATTTTAAATAACCTCTGATTTTCCCTCTAGCGCTGGATATTTCTGTGCTAGACCAGACAGACAGCTCTCATGACCATAACTCTAAAATATGATTTTGACCTCTACCTTTTCCCAAAAGAGCTCTTTCTTCAATGTCCTTTCCCACAATTGTACAGATTATTCTCATCTACTTATTTTTCCAGAAAAAATTTAGAGTAACTCTTAAGTTACAAAAGATATACAGTAATACATTGATAAGAACTGCATTGAAAAAAAAGAATTAACTTCTTTATACTTCTGAGTAGTCTAGTAATCCTAGCCATTCATCTTTATATGTATTCATTAAGTTTATATATTCTTATAGATTTTGCACTTTTGCTAGATTTTTAGGATTTTACTGTGTTCTTTTTAACTTTCTAAAAACATCTGGCTAGACATTTAGAATTCTCCATTACTGCAATGCCACAACAAACCTTTTTAAAGTATCCCCACTATCATTCTCAGTTTTAGGAACCTATGTGCTTTCCTCTGTCCACACTTAACATAATGTTAATCTTTCATTATCATTATTTTCATTATTATTCACATTTTCATACTTTTCCTGTCATGCACTAGAAACTCTGAGAGATGAATACTATTCATCTTTCTAAAATGTACCACTATGCCCTGTTTTCCCAAGGTATCTCTATTTCTGGGTTCTACCTTCTTTTTTTCTAGGTTCCCAACAAATTTTTGAGGCAGTTCTTTTCCTTTTCATTCTTAAAGGTTCTTAAGATTGGATTGCTCCAAACAGAACTGAGCAGTTCAGTGAATGCACTGGAAAATGTGAACATCATGTACTTTCCTTGAGTGAAGGGGAAGTAGATATAGAAAAACTTGTACAGAATTTCACCACTCTCTTAGTGGTCACGCATTGTTCAAAATTGTCTGGCCTATATACTTCTGGGGTAATCCAGCCCTTTTGGAGAATAAATTTAGATCCTTTAGCAAAAAACTTCAGATGTAATTCGAGCTTTATATAAGATGCCCTGAAAGAAATACTTAATTTATAAATTTAGCTTTCTTGCTTATGGGACAAAGAAAGCATATATAATGTTCATAGCAAGCAGCATGAGCTCTTTCATTTAGCTATTTAACTCAACTAACATCTAATGGTAAAACAACAGCCTAAAATGGAGTCAGTGTTTTATGCTCAAAGCCCCACATCACCAACTGGGGCTTGACTTAATTATAGTTTCAGCTCTCTCAGAAAGAGAATCTTTAACCAGTCGATCAAGGGTCTTCCATATCACAGAGGCCTCCCATCCCATAAAGGAAAGAATGTTTACAATCATCAACTGCTTTGTTTTGCCTAGTCTAATTCCTTGTTCCTGCTCCCTTCTGTCTAAAACGTTCTTTCATTTGCTCAGTTCCACAGAGCTTCTATCTGCTAGATAGGATGCTGCTCAATTTATGAATCATTTAATAAAGCCAAGAAGGTCTTTATATCTTACTTAGTCGACTTTTGTTGCTGTTAAAAGTTTAAAGGTGCCGATGGGATCCAAAGGCCACTGACTTTGGACAGTTTTGGCAAGGCAACAACTAGAAACACAGGTATTGGTACCTACAACATCTTTTTGTTCTCTTTTTCATGATTTCCAAGAGCCTGGGTTAAGTTCCTCTCAAATCCAAGTTCTGCTCTCTCTGCACTGAGCTCCCAATCTAAATGACCTTCCAGTCCAGGGTTAATTGGACTGCTGGGAGGCTCTAACCAAGCCCTAGTTCTCAGCCCTGGGTTAGTCCATGCTCCCAGGGCAGAGCCTCATGGGTCACCTTGAGCTGGCAGATGGTTCCGTCTGGAACCTGAGCCTTCAGGCCTTGCCTAGCCTGCATGTGCGGGGATCTGCTGGTTGGTTCGGTTATAGTCCCACTTTGGAGATGTCTGGTGGTGTGCACCTACCTTTTCTTGGTCAGTCTGCAGTAACACCTCGTATGACTGTGGACATCACGAGTAATCAATTTCCTTAGTTACTGATATTTTCTGCTAATGTGCACATGAGATAACAGTTCTATCATAACAGGCCTCTGGGAAGCCAAAACTGTACAATGGACAGGCATGGACTGAGTTCATAAAAAATGTTCAAGTACTCACCTGTGAGATTCCCGAGCTAGGGTAAGTCGGTCTCCGAATGGGATAGGTTGACAAGAGGTCACCTGCCGACCTGAATTTGGGTCATTTGTAGAAATGCAGATGAACCTAAAGCGTGTCATACAGAGTGAAGTAAGTCAGAGAAAAACATCGCATGCTAATGCATGTATGTAAAATCTAGAAAATCGTATAGATAATCTTATTTGCAAAACAGAAAGAAGGACACCAATGTAGAGAACAAACATATGGATGTCAAGGGGGCATGGGGGCAGGAAGGAAGATTTGGAAGATTGGGATTGACATATACACACTACTGATGCAATGAATAAAACATAACTAATGAGAACACGCCGTAAAGCACAGCGAACTTAACGCTCTGTGGTGACCATAATGGGGAAGAAGCCCAGAGGGGGTGCATGTGTATATACAGCTGATTCATTCTGCTCTACCTTAGAAACTAACATTGCTCCAATAAAAAATTAATTTAACAAATGGGGGTGAAAGGAAACAACTGTGTATGTAAAAGTAGGCAAGGAAATTAAGTGTTTGCAGAGTGAGAAAACAAAAGCAAAACATACGACAAAATCTAAATGGATATAAAAATATTGTAGAAGATTTGTGCAAAAGGCATCCTGGGCAAGGAATTTTATGTGGGGTCAAGCTGGCTAAGGCTGGAATAGATTTTTTAAATAATGAGTTATAATATCAAAAGCATGTTGATATAAAATTAAAATTTGATTCTTAAAAAGTTTTCTCTGACTTCTGACCTGATTTTGATAACACATTGTAAAAATCTCCTTAACTCTATGGAATCCACCTGGGCAACAGAGATTTTGTATCTTACCCAGGTTCACTGCACTTTGCGTTGTCTTTATCAGGTCTTTGATGGCCTAAGAAAACTGGATCTTCTCAAAATTAAAAAAGGCAAGTTTAATTCACAACTGTATAGTCAAGTGTGTTTGCCTTTTATTGTCACTTTGGTTAAATAGATAAAGAAGCATTATTTCATCAGCACCTGTAATCCTATTTAACCAAATAATCAAACCTTGTGACACTTTCCAAAATTTTAAACATGAGATTAGGTATGGTAATACAAAACTTGCTAGTTTATAAAAGAACAGTTGGATCTAAATTTTGTTTCTTAACGATGGAATAAGTTAAAGTTACCTGTTCCGATGGCTTAAATTTTTCACTAGTATTTGTGAGAAACCAAATCCTAAATTTTTTATCCCAAACTAATTTTAAGATTTCCCCTGGAAAACCTCAAGTGATTTGTCTCTGGTAAAATATTAAAAATAATTAAGTTTATTAATATGTTAAATTACATGGGAAGTATTATCAAAATGATGCTATACATCTTATGTACAGATGTATATTATGAATATGATTTAGAAATTGTTTAAGACCCCTAGAAATCTGACATTTTCTGATATCCTGTCAGTCATAACTGTAGTTGTTATCTTAACATGTTACATTGAATATAATATATAATGTTATAGTGAACTCTCATCATATCTTTAACCAGGAGCATTTTAAGTCTTTTGTTATTAATATGCAGTTACTGTGTTACTTTGGCTTTTGCAAGGGTGAAATTCATGGAAAGGACACTCCTGGCTACTCTTGACCACTGACAGCACTGCCAAGTCACAAGGCATTAAACCTTAGAGGCACATTGGACAACTGGTGAAGGTTCCACTTGACATCTGATTCTGCACAAAGTCTGAAGACCGCAAAATCAAATGACAAGGAAGATAAATAGCCTACCTGGAGACAGACTACATCTCCCTAAGAATCTGGGTCAGAACTATTTCTTTTCATTCCTCCTCCCTTTTCTGACTATTCTTTTCCTAATTCTTACACCAGAAACATGTCATGTTTATTCTGTCTTTTACCTTATTCTGACCTAGAAAGATAATTTCATTGTTTACATACCTCATGGGCATGCCTTAAGGCCATTGGCAAGGTAGGACATCCAGTCTCCAGATGACGACTGGATTAACCGCACTGCTGACCATCGTAGTTTTGCCTGCTCTGAAGTTCTCCTTGATTTCCAAAGCCTCAGTTTCTTTGGAATCCACAGCTTCCTCTCTTCTCAGACTCCCTACCTCTGAGCACTCATTTGCCTGCCTCTCCTTAGCACCCCAAACCCAGGGCACCTTGTGTCAAGGCTTTCTACAAACCTCATGTTGGGTCTGTAGAACTTCAAATTTTACTGGCCTCCATGGCTGTCATCTTCATTTTTTTTAAAGCTTTAAATGCATGTTCACAGCTGACCAAAACAAATGATCACCCCAAGACCAGAGCTTCAGAAAAGGAAAAGGTAAGCGAATGACCAACTTAAAGAATGTGAACCTGACCCCGTGACCTGGCTGACCACAAACTGAGAACTCCTGGGGGTAGGGCTGACGCCTTAAATTCTGATCACATCTCTTAGTTAATCTGAGAGTCTGGTCAACAGTGGGTGGCAGGTTGGGAGTTGAGGGGGGAGGATTGTTAAAAAACAACAGAACAGAACCAAAATGAAGTTACTTACCCTCAGCCCTATGTTGCCACACTGAGACAATCACAGTTTGGGCTTCTCATAAATGAATCTTAAACCAGTCCACAGGAATCTCCTGATCAGAGCTAGCAGGTAATCTGCTAGATAACCCCCCTGCCATTCCCTAAAGGACAGTAACCCTGCAATAACCAACCTGTGTTTTGTCTAGAGGAACTGCCTTCTTCCTCTGCTTGTAAACGGTCTTCACTTTGTACAGCTCCTCAAAGCTCCTTTTTATTTGTTAGAGTCGATGGTGTGATGATGAATCATCAAATAAAGCCAGCAAGATTTAAAAAGTTACTGCAATGAATTTTATCATTAACACTAAGAATCCATGATGGGAGAAGTACTACTCAGTAATATGGGGTCGTGTTAGAAACAAAGAATTTAAGTAAAACGTTTTTTTTTTTTTTAATAGGCATATGGTTGCAGAAAATAATCTAGTCCCTTCTAAATCATTGTGAGTTGGAGAAATATCCAAAGGATACTTCAGAAAGAACTTCTTATGATGGGTAAAAGTAATAAAGAACAATTTCACCTGGGATTTTCTACTTTCAAAAGGAGAGACTGGCTTATTTTTAAAGTTTCTATCAATCAGGCCACTTTTAAATTAGACCTTACAGATAAAGGATTATTTTAACAGTTCACTCATTTTCTGAATAAATAACATATTATCTAAAACATACACACTAGTACTATGGAAACTTACCATTCTCAGGAAAGTTAGGAGTTTTAGGGACATTGGTTCCTTAGAAACAGACTGTTCAACTTCCATAATTAAAAAGAAATCCAACTCTGAGCTCTATTTATTATAGAAAAATTGATTTATAATTATAAGTGAAACTTGTATTTCATTAAACAGTTTTTCCAAAGAATTGACTACTGTTCTAAGGGCCTTGTTTACTTAAACAATTAAATTAGCATTTAATGAGAAAGAAAAGTTGTAGCCAATTAAAGACCAAAGTAATATAAACACTACATAGCAATTAATTGATAACTCGCTTACCATGGGCTATCTAACAATTAACCAAGGAAACATTTCTAGGAAATAGAACACACTAATGCAAATGTGTTCTGGATTTATTCGTTTCAATCCATTTACTGTATTATCTAATCTGGCATAAGCAGAAAACTCCTAAGAAAGATTAATATTCAAAAACACTTCTAAAGCCTTCTGGTGTTGGGAGCCCTAATTGTTTTAGTAACAGAAACTTCTAAAGGAAGGAATTTCTAAGGGCATCCATCACAGGCCTCTCTATAAAAATGGGAGAATAAAGAATTTTCCAGATGTTTTTTCCTCTATATTATAGACTGGCAGCTCTCCGCCCAACTATCGGTGGATTGAAGCTTGCTCTCCCTTGACAGTGTGGGGCCTTGGTATGGTTACATGTGTCATATTTAAACACCATCTCCGTCACCAAGAAAGAATATTGCAAGGGACTGTGAGAGGCAGCATTAACCTTGACTCCTCCCTATTTCATATTTAAAATATCACTAATTTTTTTTTTAACCTTTAAACACTTTTCAGTTCAAAACTGAACGTGGACCATAGTAGTTCCCTGTGTTGAGTCACTGCACCACTACTAAGAACGACTAAAGTAAAACTTACCTTTTCAACTCCTATGAGTGGGATCCATGCTGTTTCTGTCTTCAGGTAAAAGGTTGAAGGCTCATCCCACTGTCCAGCTTTTAAATTAGTTAATTAGACATTTGATTATTTAGAAGGAAAAAAAAAAAACAACACTGGCATGGTGTAAATAAAATATCAGATCAGGCTTTCTCAACCTCAGCACTGTTAATATTTGGAATAGGATAACTCCTCCTTATAGTGGGCTCCCTTGTGCATTGCAGGATGTTGAGCAATATTCCTAATTTCCACACTCGATGCCAGCAGCAGCCCCCCGGGATGACATCTAAAATGTCTCCAGACATTGCTAAATGGCCATTGCAGGGCCAACCCCACCCCCTGTTGAGAAGCACTGTCTAGACTGTGAAACAAGTGTGCACTGCTCATGTGCAACCGGTGGCTGTGTAGGCAAACACATCCCTGGAAACCAGTTGTACAGAGTGACATATGTACTTGTGTAATTAGTTCTGACCCTACTCAAGTTCTCTCAAAGAAAGAATCTTCATAGATTTTGAAAATCAAAGGCAAGGGTCCATGATACAATCACCTACCACAGCCATGTTTTCTCTCCTTTCTAGGGATAGTTAAATGAGGTATTTGAAAAAGAGGTTTATAGGCTGCTGAAAGTTTTGGGCTCATTTTTTTAGAGGCAAATTGAATCTATTTGCCATTAATCACCAGGAAAATTTTCTTGTATACAGGAGATACCCTTCTCCCGGGCTTCTGAAACACAGCAATCTCAAGTGTTCTGCGGGAAATTGAGTCTTGTGTTGACTCATAGTTCATCTGTTTATGATATCATCTTCATCTGGGCAGACAGTGGAGAGAAATTACATGAGTTCTATTAAGGTTCAAACACCACCCATCTATCCCAACACAACAGTCACAAAAAAGATAATTTTTCTCAATATCACCATTAGCTTCAGTCTGTGTAAAATTATTACCTCCATCCACAGAAAAGCAATGGACCATTTTAACTATTTATTCCACTCAAGCTGTCAAACTAAAACAGAGTGAAAATGCCAATAACTTATAGCTAGGTCTTAATACACTTCTAGTGTATCATAAATGGGAACCTAAACACATTATAGACAGCTTTCATCAGTAAAAGAAAAACAGCTGGCTAGGCTAGGGTGAACCAAAATTCCTTTGCCCAAGCCCTCTCCACAAGGAATGCACATGTAAATATTCACTAAAAATATTATTTACATCACCTTCCATATTCTTTTGAGTTAACAGTACGGATCTTGTATTTCTGCACCCTGAGGAGTCTAGTACTGGGCCCGGCATTAAGAAAACATTAGCCAAAAAAAAAAAAAAAATGTTACTTGCATAAATGGGTCCATAGTAGCTAATGCTGTTTGCATCAGATAAGGTTGTAACATTATAATTACACAGCAGTGTGACTCACACATAGTGAAACAAGCAAAAACAAAGTACATCTGTCATTTCTTTGAGTCTACAAATTCAGCAAAATGAATGACATTGATCAAAATAAGAATCTATTTTATAGAATTTCATGAGGTATACAGATGTTTTATAAACAGAAACCCAGGTGAGACCGAAACTAGAAAACAGTTTAATGATGCAGTGTGTCTTTAAAAATATACTTTAAAATATCACTATAAAAACAATTTAATATAACGCAATTGCAGAACACTTGGAAATTACAAAAATAGTTATTATTATTTAATTCTTGTAATTCTCAAAACTCTATTTCCCAGATGTTATTCATTTTATATAGAATTATATTTATTTCACATAATCCAATAAACCTATCTGATTCTTTAACAATACACTGCAAATATACAACCCTTAAAAATGTATTTATTTGAGATCACATTTCACTAGAATGCATATACTGAAAATGACAATCACATACCTATTACTGGCTACTTAAAATATTTCCATATTTCTTACTTAAAAAATACAATTGATAACTATTACCCATGTATTGTGTGTGCTTGGAACTACTATCTGCAGCTTTGTCTATTTTTAAGCACCTTGTTATGTGTCCTACCAACAGTTATGAGTTGAACTGTGTCACCCTCAGAATTCCTATGTATAAAGTCTAACCCCTGGAAACTCGGAGCAAATGTTTATTTAGACATGGAGTCACTGAAGATGTATTATGTTTAGATGAGGTCACTCTTCAGTAGGGTGGGTTCCTCATGCCCGTGTGACTGGAACCTTATTCAAAGGGGAAATCTGGACAGAGACACAGGTGAGATGATGTAAAAAGACAAGATAGCCATGTGTGAATTGAGGAGAGAAGCCCGAAATAGATCCTTTCCTCCAACCTCAGGTGGAACCAGTCTACCGATACTCTGATTTTGTACTTGTAGCCTCCAGAACTGTGAGATAGTAAGTTCCAATGGTTTAAGCCACTTGGTTCATAGAACTTTGTTGTTGGAGGTGGTTTAGTTGCTAAGTTGTGTTTGACTATTATGGCCCCATGGCCTACAGCCCACCAGACTCCTCTGTCCATAGGATGTTCCAGGCAAGAAGAGTGGTAAGTTAGAAAGAGAAACCCCAATACAGTATATTAATGCATATATACAGAATTTAGAAAACGGTGATCCTATATGCAAGGCAGCAAAAGAGACACAGATGTAAAGAACAGACTTTTGGACTCTGTGGGAGAAGGGGAGGGTGGGATGATTTAAAAGAATAGCATTGAAACATGTACATTACCATATGTAAAACAGATGACCAGGGAAAGTTTCATGCATGAAGCAGGGCACTCAAAGCATTGCTCTGGGACAACGCAGAGGGATAGGGTGGGGAGGGAGGTGGATGGGGGCTCAGGATGGGGGGACATGTGCACCCGTCGGTGATTCATATTGATGTATGGCAAAAACCACCACAATATTGTAAAGAAATTATCCAATTAAAAGTAATTAATTAATTTAAAAAAATACTGGAGTGACTTGCCATTTCTTTCTCTAGGGGATCCTTCCAACCCAGGGAACCTTCAGCTCAGTTCAGTCGCTCAGTCGTGTCTGACTCTTTGCGACCCCATGAATCGCAGCATGCCAGGCCTCCCTGTCCATCACAAACTCCTGGAGTTTACTCAAACTCATGCCCATTGAGTCAATGATGCCATCCAGCCATCTCATCCTCTGTCGTCCCCTTCTCCTCCTGCCCCCAATCCCTCCCAGCATCAGGGTCTTTTCCAATGAGTCAACTCTTCGCATGAGGTGGCCAAAGTACTGGAGTTTCAGCTTCAGCATCAGTCCTTCCAATGAACACCCAGGACTGATCTCCTTTAGGATGGACTGGTTGGATCTCCTTGCAGTCCAAGGGACTCTCAAGAGTCTTCTCCAACACCACAGTTCAAAAGCATCATTTCTTCGGGGCTCAGCTCTCTTCACAGCTTACAGCAGCCCTAACAAACTAATTCTGCAACCAACACTACGGAAAATTTCTTCCTAGTCAAAACTCCTTTGTCTCTAGCCAGCCCCACCACACCTTCACTAACACCTAAAATACTACAAGACTTGTTTTTAAGAAAATCTTTTACTGTATTTTATTTTCAGGTCAGTGTGCATCTCTATTTCCCTTCTTCCAGCCCAGAGTACTTAACAGCGGGCATTTTCTTAACTTACTATTCCAGTGGTCTTGAAATAATTAAACAATAACAACAATAGCTAATACTGAATCCTTTCTATGTTCAGGCTTCATGCCAAATTAAACTCTTTATGTTAATGATTTCCTTAATTGCCACATTAATGAACTCATGGAAATGAAGTGTCATCTCCATCTTTCTTCTATTTTGGCTTGTCATATAACTCATGTCATGTGCATTTTAGATGTTCATTATATGTTGACAGCTTTGCTACTCTGGCATAAGTCTTTACAAATGATTATGCCCTGGCACAGAGTTTTAACTAGCTAAATTCTAACCACAGTGGTCCTCAGAAAACTACATTACAGTTGGCATTGGGGTGGCATTCATTCCAGGCATTAGAATTTTCACTGAATTGAAAGCAACTGGAATTTCTCTCAAGTTTTCACAGTATTTTAATTCACTGAATAACTCCCCCCAGCTTCCCATCTCAGGAGGGAGGAGATCAGCCATCAGAAAAGACTGTTCAGATGGTTGCAAAGCCAGATATGACGCAAACGTTGCTAAGTGAGTGACAGCAAGCAGCAAGGATAATTACACTGGAAACTGATGGCGGAGCAAGAAACAGCTGTTGGCGTTTGGGGAGCAGAGAGCACTGGAGGCCAGGGTGGTAATGAATGAATTGTCTGGGGAGGAGGCTGCGTGGTGGCTGGGTGGGAGCAAACAGGGCTGAACTGGAGGGGGCGGGGCAGACCCGAGGGGTGGGCAGACACGGCAGCGTCTCAGAAGGGCAGGAGGTGAGGGGGGCTGGAGGCATGTGTGCCGAGACAAGGTGGGTTATGGCGAGAGCAT